GGGGGGGGGGCTTCGACCTGAAAAATCAGGGGTTAGGATTTGCACCCGATCGAAAGAAACCTTGCTATCGCAAGAGTAACTCCAGCTAGCTTCGCTAGCTTTCGTGATTATGTTATGGCTACTCTATCAATACAAGCAGCCAAGCCGTTAACTCTTTAGTTTGTGATCCACCCCATGCCATCTCCAACACTGGCATCCTCTACGTACCTCATAAACCCATATAACTCCCAAACACGTCTGACGAATTCACACTCTCTTCGTGCACCTCTTTTCACATCTGACTGATCCACGTCCGGACGGTTCTTCTGACCCGTCTTATCCGATCCTCGCCCGTTCCATCGAACGCCGTCACCGTCAATCCGTTCGGTCCGATCCGTTTCTTCTCCTTCTCGCCCTCGGACTTCATGTCTTGCAGCATCTCCACGACCTTCCCCCTCGGGACGGCATGGCCAGCTGTTTGACGGCACACACACGCGAGTCGTCGGCTTTTTCGGAACGTTCCGTACGACGTCTGGCACGTCCGGATGAGGGGTTTTGATGCCAGGTATGCCACGTAGCTTTTTGGTTGTTCACGACTGGAGGTGGACACCCCGGTCGTGTCCCCTCTATTGATCAACCGACGGTAGAAGGCCATCTATGCTGGGAAAAAGGGGTCGAGTTATTGTACACTCCTTGACGAGAATCATGGTTGAAGTGGAGTGAGTGAAAACCACCTCTTTAAGTCTTCGGAACTCTCATGGTCATCCGAGTCCTCCGGGTCCGCGGTTTTCAGTCGTGATTTCAGGAAGTGTATGGAGTGGCTGTTGGAAGATGAAAACATAATTCACACACACAGCATAGAAGCATTCTGTTTATATTTTCAGACTGAGCAAGTGTTTGTTCAGGAATCAGATTTGCTGGGCCTCAAGCAAAACGAGTAGGACAACGTTGAACCTCATCCTTTCCCAAACCAAACCGGGCAACCGTCCCCAAACCCTACGAGGTCTCCGCCACGGGGGTGGTTTCCACTGGGCACGCGGACACAGGGGTAGCACTGAAGCCGGACGCCAAAGAGGCGCCCCAGAGCAGGAAAACCTCAGGTTTTCTGCAAAGCAACAGAATTTTCAAGGATGAAGAGCTGTTGGTGACAATTTGAAGAATTTTGATGGCTTTGCCTGCGGTTATTATATATAAACACTATATAATTGGGACAATCTGACTGGTGCGACTCGCAAGGAATGAGTCAATGAAGGAATGAACGCTAAGGAATCTCTGTTGGGAGGTCATTTACTAATATATCATACAATATCATACAATAAGCACCAGTCAGCAATTGTCACGCATTCCCCTTGCCCCCTTCTGGAAGCTTTCTTTCAACCACTCGAGACGAACTCCATGAAAATGAAGAACCTATGTAGAGTGCTGGCAGTTGCGAGCAAAAAAAAATACAGTGTATCTGGGATGCATGTTCTACAATGGTTTCAAACACGTGGCGTGTCACAAGCAGAGCTTTAGACGTCCGCAAATGGCAAAATAGCATTGGTTTCTAAATGTTTCAAAGCTATAATCATACTGATTGGATGAGGCTTCATGATTGACATGTTATCCAACACTTAAAACATGTGGTTTAAAGACAGCTCCCTACTATTCTGAAGCCACTCAACCTAGTACCTCCTGACCATCTGAGGACTGAGTGTTACCGGTCCGAGTAGATGGCACAAATCCCAATGTCGGTGGTTTACATGGACCCCCAATCTGTCTAGGACATCTTGGGGGTTGTGCCATCTACTACTCTCAAAAAAAGGGAACATGTTTTTTGTTGCCATCCAAAAAGGACATCGCTCAGCCCCTCGCAAACTTCATTACAGACATCGCGGCCCTCCCCGAGGAATGCGTTTCAACGCACCCTCGTTTGAGCCAAAGTGCCTGGAGGGTTGAACACCATGCTAGATGCACCAGCATGCAACAGCCTGTATGGTACCCACCTGGAAACCCACCTGGATGTCTTCACAGTCCCAACTACTTGTTTATTCAAAGGATCTCAAACCGGAGCCATATTGGGTTCCAACCCTTTGTTTCTGGTCGTTTGGGGGTTCTGCCAGCAGAAATCTTGTCAAAGACTTCACCCGTTGTGATGGGGTCCTTTGACACGGATGCCATGACCTGACTCACGTCGGTGAGTTGGGTGTCCCAGTCTTTTCGGCTGTTCCGGCTGTACCGGCGCTGTTCTGTTCGGTGCACCATGCCCCAACAACAGATGGGACTGGAACCAACGATGCACATGTTTTCCTGCCATGTGTTTACATTGATCCCTTAAGACATCTGAAACAAACCACCCATCCGGAGGGCAAATAGTCCATTATACTGCAGCCCCATGGAACTCTCCATATCTCCGCATGGATTGTTATATAGGGAGTCATGTGTCCCTCGTCACAGGATCGAACAAACCCAGAGGGATATTTCACCACATAGCCTCTGAGGCCGTTGGACCCTCCACACTCTCTTTCATCCCCCAACCACCTTCGAGAAGGGGTATGCGGATCCCTAAGGCAAAGAAACGACGGTACGACACAACAAATGCCGTATATATAAAGACTCAAAAAGGCATGTTGCAAGGAAGTGGGTGGCACAAGACTCTTGTTGTACAAGACGGAAGTCGATTGAACCGGATTGAACCACCATGTTTGGTCTTCGGAACTCTCATGGTCATCCAAGTCCTCGTGGAGTACCATGCTTTCCACGTTGGCCCATGGATGATTTCAGGGAGTCTTTCAGTGTAAGCATTGAAAAAGAAGCGCCCCAAACAATAAAAAGCATTTACATAAACACCCCAAAAGCACCCCGTTGAAAAAGAAGCGCCCCAAACATCACTGCAAAAGCTTTTGTTGGGGCTCACGGCATCGGAAAGCAAGCCCACGCCTACTCATCCCTTCCCTCGGCGCCGCGAAGGATGCGGAAGACGCTCTTTTTGTTGCGCGTGTTTCCGTTCGAAGGATGCGCGATCCAAAGGATGCGCAATCTGTCGAGCGCGGTGAGACGGTTTCGGCGTCAGCCTCATCGGATGTCACCTTGGACGTCCAGATCTGAGCGGCAGCTCCAGTGTGGAGCTCCAGCGAAATTCTGTATGAAGAGGTTGTACTGCCATACTGGTGAGTTAGGACTTTGAGCATCCTAAGTCACTGGTGAGTAGTATAGATGCTAGAGATCTTGATGTCTTACTATGTTACTCCTTCTTCGGGAAGTTGTGGAGGCAACATTCTCACCAGCAACTAGTGGACCCTGCGTCTGCGTCGATTTCGATTACCCTGCAACAACCGCCAAGTGAAGGACTGAGAGACACCACTCTTTGTGATCGTGACCTCACCTACTTTTCCCCCGCCGAGATATCCCGAGATCACGGATCCCACCTAACAGGAAAAGTCTGGAAACACCTCTGACCCGCAGGGGGACCCCACTGGATGTACTTGGAGATGGTCTTGTTTCATCAGATCTATCAGCGTCGGAAGTAGGGCAAAGGAGATCCCTGGTCCGTGCGTGCCAGCTGGGATGCCCGGCCTTCACTTCAAAAGCCCTGCTAAGACCTGGCAGTTCAACAAGAAAGGCTACAAGCGATGGTTTTAACATGTTTTAACCCAGAGATGATGGTGTTGCACCAAAATCACCCAGTCATCCAGAAGTAAGAGAACCCCTGCTACCGCATACAGCTACCGGGCTATAGCTAAAGAAAAAGCCAAGAAGAGAACATCGTCAAGAGGTTGGCCTTATTGATCAGTGTCACAGTCAGCCATGTTCTCAACATGTCTCTGCGTCACATCGTTTCACGTCCGCCTTTTGGATCGTTTGGATCGTTGCCTCAGGCTGATCACATCTGTTGTAAGCACTGACGGTCCAGTGCCCTTCTTCTTTCGAACAATCCGTTTATCGAAAGCAGTTCCGGAAGGCTCCTGATTTCACCGAAAAGCAAGAATTAAAAAGAATCAGGTCCAATCTCAAGAGAATCACTGCTTCAGGTGTGCGCTGCTTAGCAGGGACATCGGAGCTCACCCAAGGTGCGCTTGGCTCAGTCTTCCGAGCGGCGGATTCTAGGTTAGATATTTGAGCTAGGGACGGCGTCGAACAAACTGAAATCTAGTGTATATATATATATAGATGTCACTTTGAGACTTAAAAACTATATATTTGCTGTATGATGTTTACAACTCCTCCAAGATATTGCACAACAGGTTTTTATCACACACAATCCCACACCATGGCCATATTCCAATGATGTGCGACTTCCATCGCTACCAGGACACGCCAGCACCAAAAGCAACAGAAAGGCCAACTGCTACGAGTACCGCTAACACAGATTGTCTGTTCCTCATTCCACCAGCCCCACCCACGCCGTCGTGCGCGCCCGGGACCAACAGACCGGCACCACAAACATCCACAAACCCAACGATTTGGTCCACCGGCCTCTCGCGCTCCTCCCGCAAACGGTTCAAAAGGTTCTGCCTTCCCCACGGTGTAGGTGAAAAAGCCCAAGATCGCCGGGAAAAGCGAGGGCTCCAAGTGCAAATCCGCGATCTCCGGCACCTCGCCAGCGTCGGTGCCGGCGTTCTTGCTGGAGCCCCCCTTTTCTCGAGGATTCCAAGCACCATTGATTTAACGTTTTACCCAACAGCCATGACAGCCATTGTCCATTTATCATAAGGGTTTTACACTACAAAACCAGCAACCTTTCTTTGAATGGTCGAACAGAAGGGAACCCGGTTCTATTTGAACCGGTTTTTGCCTTCGAGGCGGTGAAGGACAGGGCCGAATTCGTTTGGTAGGTGAGACACCTCAGGTCAGACGTTTGCGTTCAAATCCGTGCGGTGGTGAAATGGTGAAGCACTTTTTTAGTGCTTTCCCTAAGAATCCGGATCCTCAAACACATAGGGTTTGGTTCGGGCCCGGACCCCTGCTATGGAGGGTCCGACCCCTGCCATGGAGAGCCCAAGGATTCTTAGGGTTGGAAGAAATTCCGCGCGAAATGGGCATCGCACCCTCGAAACTGTGTGTTCGATGCATTGAATGATTCTTCAGCAGGTCATGCTTGTCGGCCGAATTTCATTCGTCGGTGAAGACTGGCCCAATGGGTAGACTGGAGTAGACTGGTCTATGCTCCGGAAACTCCCGAACGGGGGTCGTTGCTTCGGAGGTCTCCCTATTTCAGTACACACCTACTGTATGGTTTACCCGCCACCCTGAATCTGATGTATTTTACGCATCCTATCACCTGTTTGGCTTCTCGTTCACATGCAAAGAGCGAGAGTCGGGGTGACCGGCCAGAAGAAGACCCGCTCGTGCACCGAGTCGGGATGCATGGAAAACAGATTCCTGGTCATAGGAGGTTGAAGCATGCAGAGAACTGGCGGAGTGTTCGTAGAGGAACACCAACCATCCACTGTAAACAGCCTAAATGATGCCAGCCCTCAAGTTACAAACATCCAAGCAAAACGAAACGAAATGTCAAGACAGTCAAGCAAGAAAACCGAGCAGAAATCAGTTCCAAACCTCCCAATCCACCGAGCAGAACAATTCTAGAAACTCCTCTTCGGACCCGGTACCGTTCCGTTCCGGATCCGTTCCTGTCCTCTCACGACTGGCCGGTCCGCGCCTGAGCCTCGATTCGAGGCCACGCCTGAACGATCAACAAGACCACCACAGGAGTCTCAGCGCGCCAGGGACGATCCGGGTCGGGCCCGGTCGGGGTCGTCGTCGGTCGGGTCGGACCCGGTCGGTCCGGGGGAAGAGAGAGGGAGACCTGGGAGACCTACTATAGGCCTGGTGGAGGAGGAAGAACTACTACCTGAGCTGACGTAGTTTGACGTATGGTTCGTCACGTTTTCTTGGTAGCAGCAAATGAGCTTGACAGTAGATCACATCGATTGCTAGGACTGCCCTGCGTGCCCTTGAAGAAAAGCATATAGGCATCCCTGGCCGTCCAACCTCCGAAAAACCACCCACCATGGTCACCATCGATCTCTCGGAAGCGTTAGACTCGGCTTTTTGCTGCGTCTGACGCTGGCCCTTGCTCGTCGCCGAGTTCGAAGACTGCCAGCAGGGGCAAATGGTCCGAAGGCTGCTCCTGGTCACTTTTTTTAGGCACGACATCCGCAACATCCTCGGACTCATGACCGGTGTCCAACTGATTCCCCAAACCATCCATCGGGACTGGAAGATGAAGTACATTGAAGTCTTAAAGCATCTGAACATGGATGGGAGGGCCAAATCTTCCAGTCTGATGGATTCATTGGGGAACTGTTTGACAGCCGAAGCAGTACTGAGATTGGTTTTGCTCAACTGGGTCTTCAGAATTCCTTGAAGTGGTCAGACTGAGCAAGCTTGACCACACCCTGGAAAGCTTGACCATCACTGAAGAAAAGGGTGATATATGACATTTGGTTGAGATCACCCCTGTGACCGGGTGACGGTTGGCTCCGAAATCGCTTGTCGCAGTAAGACAGCAGGCGTTGAAGGTGCGTGAGGGCGGGACCCCAGGCATTTCCATGAACCCCAGAAATTCAGAAAACTCACCCAAACAAGCCTTCAGTAACTAAAATTGACCATGGTTTGCACTCAGCCTGGCCCTAGCCTCTCAACCTCCAATGAGACGCAGATCTGCGCTTTACAGGTACACTCTTTCGATGGCCAAACGCTCTGGAAAACGGCCGTGAATTGGTCGAAGCTGGCTGAGCCTCAAGGCGACATCGATGTGCGAACCCAGCCCCATGCTCCAAAAGGCATGTTTCTCATGTTCTTCCACGCTACAAAGGGGAACCAAATTATTCTGCTTCAAAAACATGTCATGTCATTTTGTTGTTTTTTCAACTGGTTTCCTTTAGCCTTTGTTTCCGCTCCAAATCCACCTACATCACGCGACGGAACGTATCTGCTCCTCGGAGGGCAGCACTCCACCCGGTAGTGTGGCGGCATCGGGCCAGGTGGCACCCACGAGGCGCAGCTGGGGTCCTGGGAGGCGCAGCAGGAGGTCACCTATAGCTCAGTAAGCCCTACCAGTGGCATTCAACCTCACCTGGCACAAACAAACGTGTCATTTTTTCCTGGGAAGGTGGAAAAATTGGATTAAGAAACTGAACATACTGAACTTGGTCGCTCAACACTCTGTGCAATGATCGCAATCAAACAGCTTGGCTTGGCCGATGAATCGTCAGCTTGGTCGTCAAAGACGTCAATTCCGCCGGGGTTTGAACATACCGTTGACACCGGCTGAATCTCAGCATGCACCGTTTGACCCTCCAAAGTATCTCAGAAAATGGGACATGACTCACACGACCCGATCAAAAGGCACAGAAATCAAAATTCTTTGGTCTCGAAGTTGAAAACACAGCTCGTGTCGAACAAATATTGGTTGGTGGGATATGGTACGTAGGATATGGTAGGATTTGAATCATAGATTACTAACTCGTGGACCCTCCCAATTAGCGACAGTCCGAGATCTCATCATCTCGAATCCCTCCGTTTTGAGGGACCATGGCTGGCTCGAGGGTTTGTTCCTCGGCTTGTTCCTCGGTCGCGGCATCAAGGTCGTTTGGATCTGCGTCGTCCTTTGTAGAGGATGTAGTCCAAACATCCCACGAAGTCGGCCGAGGCGTTCGTCGCTGCCTCAGCACCTGAGGCGGTGGCTAGTGGCAAATAGTCGCCTTGATGTAGAAGCACTGAACTTGAAGTAGAAACGATCAGGAGTTGACTGAAGTAGGTAGAAACTTGAAGTAGCTTGACTCATCTTGACTCTATTTAAGAGGGGCACCTCACGAGGTGCACCTCACTTTTCGGAGATTGCTGGAGGTTTCTGCGGTCCAAGGCAGGTCCAAGGCCGGAGATCGGCATGCTGATTCTTTTACATATAGTACAAGAAACCGCACTTGATTCATCTTCAGTCCTTTGACCGTTCCAGTCATTCAGTAAAAGTATACATGTGGAGGACACCACTACTAGGTTGGAGGCCATCGCTAGTAGAAACAAAAGCAAAGAAACCAAAAACAACGCACCTCTTCGGTCCTTTCACCATCAGAACCATCGCCAGGAACGCTTCGGACCCGTGGCCACGTGTTACCCATGCGGTCCAGTGGCCACGTGCTTCCACCGCAGCGCTGCGGTAGGGAGAGATGCGAAACTCTGGTACGTCCTGGTGAGGACGCGACGACGCGACGTGGCACGCGAAGGGTCAGGTTTTGTCGAAGAACCAAAGAGACGCCATCTGGTGCAAAACCTCGCCACACTCCTGTGGCTTCAAGTGCCTGTCCCAAAAGCGCCTGTTCCGGCCTCGTGTTCGGTGGCTACTCACCCGCAGACGCGCTCATATGGATGGGGTCGCTATATGCATTAGACGAATTTGAGATGAAGAAATTTGTCTTTGCAGACGGGGGGGGGCAATAGTGTGCGCCTCTAGGGGTTGCATTTCTCAAGCGCTGGCTGCGAGATGACAAACAACAAACTAAGCACCTCATAGACCTTACAAACGATCAGAGGGTATTCCTTTCAGATGTATCTTTATAGGGTATTCCGTGAGCTAAGTGAACAGACCTCCCAGAAGATCGGAGGGCATTCCTTAGGAATGATTAAGGAAGACTTAATTAAGGAATTCCAAATCTCATTTGGGAAGACAAATGACAGCGAGATGAGACACTTCCAGAATGATGTTCCCAAATGTTTTCCGAATCTGATTGTCTCATCTCACTGAATCGCAGCGTGGAACTCTGTGGCTCGCGCCGAGAAAGAGAGAGCGACTGGGGGACTGCTTCTTTTCTGGACATATTGTCCACTATAATTATATAGATGTCACTAGTAGGAGGTCAGTGGAAGTGACGACATGTTTAGTTTTGAAGGCTAGGAAATGCGTTACTCCATTCCCCGTCGCACTACATGCCTTGAATGGAACAACTCTTTCGGCCTAAAGTTGAAAAAGGGAACATGCGAGGATTACGCGAGGGCTGCTAAGGTGATCACTCCTGAAACAAACCCTGTGAGAACCAAGCCCTCAGTTAACAGAGTGGAAGTCCGTTTGAAGTGTGCACAGTTTCCTGTTGTCCTCCAACAGTACTACTTTGATCTACCTTGTGATCAAAGAACTTCCATTGACCAATTTCATCGTACCCCACTTGTCAGAATCGAACACTCTGAAGCAGGCAGAAGCAGCAAAACGAGTCATTCCTCCTCCATGCAGTGTTCAACGGTTCACCTTTTTCTTCCAGGCACACAGGGCCAGGCAGACCATAATGCGTAAATCATAAGTAAGAAGACCCTCCGCATAATGGACAAAGCTCACCCAAAAACGCCCCAAGAAGCCAATAAGCCCAAGCCATTCTTTTGCTCCCCATTTCTCCATCTCTTTCGCCTACATGACGCGGAGCATGTGGTGCCGGCCCCCCGGCTCGTTCCTCCGGCCCCCGCACCCCCGCTCCGCTCCTGAGGTTGGAGACCCTTCAAAATGCCCACCTTGGGACGCATCTGCACCGGGTGATGTGGGTGCAACACCTCCACGTCGCCTCCACGTGTCCAGGCGTCGAAAGGCACCGAGGCGTCCGGCGCGTCGTTGTTGCGATCGAAGTGAAGCGATCGAATGGAAGCATGCTATAGGCGATAGGGGTCAAAACTTCAATGGTTTGATGTGGTTTGGAACCAACAATCACCTGGTTTTCTTTTTTCTCAACCAGCAGCACCATGTCCAATCCATTGGCCCCTCTGAAAACAGGTCCTCTAACGCGACCGCCAGGTCACTCTCCATGATCCCACTCTCTCCGCACAAAAACACACACACCAACAGAGGTTGAAGAACCTTATAGACTATCCCAGTTGAGTACCCCCAATGAACGGGTCCCTTTTGACCTGACCGGCGCCGGATCCGTCGCTGCATCCGTGGCTTCTTCCGGTCGGACTCGAGCGCCTTGCGTGAGCAGCTGGTAGACGCCTGAGAGCACGCCTTCACCACTGGAGCGGCCATCCAGCAATGGAGTGCCTCAGCGAGGCAATGGAGTGCCCGTGCGTCCCACCGTGGCACGGCCAAACAATCCAAAGACCGAACAAAGGTGGAGCCAAACCATGCGTATACGGTGTTTTTTGCCGACCCCGGCAGGCCTAAAATGAGAGATTGATCCCATGTTTCTTATTGAAAAGTGCTCTGTGGGCGACGGATTCTACCTTATGTTACCCACATACTCTTGCATAAGGCGAGACCGGAAGCGAAGGCGGAGTGTGGTGGTGGTTGAGCAATCCTAAGATCTGGGCTTGGGAACAAATCTTAAATTTTGAGACTAACATGAACTGCTGGAAACGGTGTGGACACGATAACTTACTACTGAAAAAAAGAGATGAAAATTGTGAGAAACAGTGACAGATGGACCTGGAAGTTCCAATGGTTCTCTCTCTGTGGCTCAAAAGGATGCGTTTCCTTTGGATGGTTGCATGGAGAGAGCAAAAAAGAGAGAGAGAGAGAAATAGATAAATAAACTTGCTTGGGCCACCTTAAAGATCTTAAAGTAGTGAAGATGTGCAGATATGATTCATATGATGCATTTCAAAGAGTTATCACTGGTGCTGGTGCCTGCTTCACAGTGGTTCTTCCCGCCCTGGCTTCAAGCATCGCTATCAAACGAAAAGCCCTGTTAGCTTAACACCACCATCGCCACCATCCTTCCAGCATGCAGGGTG